ACTGTTGGAGGTTGGCTGTTCAGGACACAAGCAAAAAGGGGCTTCCTTCCAAAAAGGCATACAAATGACCATATACCCATGAAAAGATGCTCAACATCATTAGCCATCAGGGAAATGCAAATCAAAACTATAATGAGAAACCACTTCACACTCACCAGGATGTAACCATCAAAAAGAATAAAAAAGCCAGATAATAACGAGTGTTTTGAGAGAATGTGGAGAAATTGGAACCCTCATACACAGCTGGTGGGACTATAAAATGGCACAGCCACTCTGGAAAACAGTCTAGCAGTTAACCTCAAACAGGTAAACAAAGAGTTACCATTTGACGCAGCAATCCCACTCCTAGGTACATACCCAACAGCAATGAAAACGTATGTCCACACGAGAACTTGTACACGAATGTGCATATTGGCATTATGCACAACAGCTAAAAAGTGGGAACCATCCAAATATCCATCAACAGATGAATGGATAAATAAAATGTAGTCTAGCCATACAATGGAATATTATTCAGCAACAAAAGGAAATGATGTCAGATTCGTGCTACAAACGTGGATGAATTTAAAAAAAAAATGCTAAATGAAAAGCCAGTCACAAAGGACCACATATTATATGACTCCACTTATATGAAAAGTCCAGAATAGGCAAATCTATAGAGACAGAAAACAGATTAGTGGTTGCCTAGGGCTAGGAGGCAGCCCTGTAGCACGGTGGTTAAGAGCTCAGCTGCTAACCAAAAGGTCGGCGGTTTGAATCCACCAGCCGCTGCTTGGAAACCCTATGGGGCAGTTCTACTCTGTCCTATAGGGTCGCTATGAGTCAGAATCGACTTGACTGCAACGGGTTGAGTTCGGTTTTGGAGGGCTGGGGCGGGGGGTGGGGAATGGAAAGGTTAGGAGATGATAGCTTAGGGGCATGGGGTTTATTTGGGGGCTAGTGAAAATGTTCTAAAATTCTCTCTTTAGGCAAACACAGTCTGCACCCATGTGTTCAGCTTGGAATGGAGAGTGAAGGCTGGATTTCAGCCCCTACTCTCAGCCAGGCACAACCTTCCTAGCAGCTGTGTCTGCAGTGGTTGTCCACATGGGTGGGCTAAGTTAATCCCTATCCCCGAGACAGAGCAAGAGCTGATCTTGCAAGAGAGAGACCTCGGACAGAGTGAGGTCCTCCCTGTACCACAGCAGAGGGCAGACTTCTGGACAGTTAGACAAGGCAGCCCACGGGGGTAGAGACGTCTCCAGTCCCCAGCCCCACATTTGCCAGCACTGCTGCTTTAGGTCCTCCTTGCAGCTCGACTCAACCTGGAGTGAGAACAGGGCTGTGAGGAGGCAAAGGAAAGAAATGAGGCATCTAAGAGAAGCCAGCAGCCAGGGAGGAGAACCTAGCTGACCACCCTAGGCAGCTGGGAGAGGGAGATGACAAACTTAACAAGGACTTGAAAAGTGCACTTGCTTCATAATAAAGGCCTTCTTAACCAGAAGCCCAATGTTAAGATTTAGAAGTCGGTCAGATGAACTAAAAGAGAGGATGATCCTGCTGAGAATGGAATCGGAGTGGCCTGATAGGTCAAGAGGGAGAAATACAGAGCAAGACATCTCAAAATACAGAGCAAGAATACATTGACATACAGATGGTGAGGGAGAAGGCCATAGATGGAGAGGACCGATGTAGTTCCAAAAGGAGAAAAAGGAATGGTGGTGAAGAGGTAATAATTAAAGAAACAGAAAACCACTCCCCTGACCTGCAGAAAGACACGAGCCTGCAGACTGAAGGGGCACTGATGAGGCAGGAGTGAGGAGAAGCATTCACCCAGCTGGTGCCTGGACAAGTCCCTGGATCCCAAGGATAAAAAGAAAATCTCCAAGCGTCCTAGAGAAAGAGCTAGTTACTTAAAAGGGAAAGAGGGCTTGGCATCTATACAACACAGGGCGCTAGAAGACAGGGGAATACCATCTCAGGCGACAAGAGAAAAGGCCTGCAACTCTGGAGCCCTTCAACGAGCCAACACGCCACTCATGGGTTAGGGTGAAAGCAAGACATTTGCAGATCTGCAAAACAACACATTGCATTGGGCAAATCTTCTGCAAAAGACCTCTTTAAAGTGTTAAGAAGCAAAGACGTCACTTTGAGGACTCAGGCGCACCTAACCCAAGCCATGGTGTTTTCAGTCGCCTCATATGCATGTGAAAGCTGGACAATGAATAAGGAAGACTGAAGAAGAATTGACACCTTTAAATTGTGTGAATATACCACGGACTGCCAGAAGAATGAACAAATCTGTCTTGGAAAGAGTACAGCCAGAATGTTCCTTAGAAGTGAGGATGACGAGACTTCGTCTCATGTACTTTGGACATGTTATCAGGAGGGGCCAGTCGTTGGAGAAGGACATGCTTGGTAAAGTAGTTGGTCAGCAAAAAAGAGGAAGACCCTCAACGAGATGGATTGACACAGTGGCTGCAACAATGGGCTTAAACATAGCAACAACTGTGAGGATGGTGCAGGACCATAGGGTCGCTATGAGTTGGAACCGACTTGATGGCACCTAACAACAAGGATTCAGAGTGTACCTGCAAGAAATACTGGTGAAAGTTCTCTAACTACAGCAATTGATCAGAACAGAGAGCTCCAACAGTGGGAGATGAAAAGGAGTGAAAACAGTGGTGAGCAGTGAACCCGACCATGTGTAATGTGAAATATTAGTGGATGATGATGGTGGACTGGGAAATGGTAATATATGTAAGCTGAGTAAGTGTTCTTGAAATGGAAGGGCCAGGCTGCAAAGAAATGACTAATGAGGGTCTAGAACTAACATTCCTGAACTACCTTGGCAAAACTAAGAGGTAGGGGGTGGGGACAATAAGGGGAAGAGTAAAAGCTTTCCAAAGGTCTCATTTCAGAGTAGAAGGGAAAGCAAGAAAATACTTCTCAAGGTCTCGTCTTACAGGGTGCAGGCAGCAATGAACAGAGTAGTGTGGGTGGTTGGGTAGGGTTTTGAAAAGATAATGGACAAATACCTATGTGATTATAAGGGTCACCAAGTGAAGTCACCACGAGTAGAGAGGAAAATAACAGTAAAATTTCCAAAATAATAAGGGGAAAAAGGGAACATATAGTAATTCACCAAAATGACAAGAACAAGAAGGGGGGCAGGGAGGATAAGGAAACAATAAAGTAAATAACAGTTAACTCCCGTCATCTGGAAGGATGAACCAGGTATATCAGTTATTATGTTAAATGGGAATGGGTTGAATTTCTCTACCAGAAAACATAGATTGTTAGATTCACCAAATCCCAAAACTCAGCTATATGTTAGTAGCAGAAAACACACTTAAAATAAAGAGATAAGCAAAGAGAAAAGAAAGTAGGTAGGATGATATTCATATCAGACAAAGTGGAATTAAAAACATCAAATTGGATTAAGAGAGACATTAAGTATATAAATGGCAATATGAGAAGGTATAATAGCCATAAACCCAAATGTACAAAACAACATGGCAGCTAAATACAGAAAGCAAAATCCATTAGAAATCCAATGAGGAATAAGAGAAACCGACTGGTTTAGCAGCTAGAACAAAGCAAGAGCATGGGAGGATTTAAATAATATGATAAAATTAATGTACAATAACTGAATAAACCTATAAATTAATGAATTTGTAAATGGTGAGCAGATGCATGCATGAATAAAAAATGGTTTATTTGTGAATAAATAAATGCATGAATTCATGCATGAATGCAAGAATAAACATAGTCATGAATGAATAAATGAATGAATGTATGGCAACACAAATAAAGAAATGGAGAGAGGCTTGAAAACATGAATAAGTAGAGGAAGGAGGGAAGGGGAAAGGGAGGAAGGAGGGAGTTGCCTGTGCACCGCCCGCTCACGGAGAGGCACAGCCCCCACGAGGGCTCCACTTCCCATCCCCCAGACCCGCTCACCCGGCCAAAGAACTGCAAGAAGGTGTTGGAAAGCAGCAGGTGCTTCTCAGCCAGAAAGCGATAGCGCCGCTTCTCTTCCAGCTCAGCTGCTCGCTGACTCTCTGACATGAAGGCCTGCATTTGCACGTGCAGCCGGTTCACGCTCTCCTGCAAGGAAAGGGGGCTCTGGCTGGGGGCAGTGGGTGGTGCCCCATCCCACCCCCCATAGGTGCAGGCGTCTGAATCCTTCCTGTCCTTCCTGACCCGGCCAGCTCCTCCCAGAGGCAGCCCCCGCCCCGCCCCCGAGCACCCAGCCCATCCTAGCTCCTGGGCCTGCTCTCTCTTGGGGATCATCTGCCTGAGCTCTGCCTCCCTCCCAGCCTGGGTGCCTCTCACAAGCAGGGCCACTGTACCAGCCACTGCTCTGTCTCCAGCACCCAGTACAGGGCCGAGCACAGAGGTGGGCCCAGGGTGGTCTGTATAATGACAGTGTAAAAGAGTGGGTTAATACTGCCTGACTTGGAAGGGAAGATTTTGAAGATGAGAGACGTGAGCTTACTTAGAGGGGCCGGAAGAGGACACAGGCAAGGAGATAGAGGTTTATCAATCCATGGAGTTGGGTCTTGGAGACAGAGACCAGAGATGGGGCCCTGAGCTTGGGAGAAGGGACTGGCCTTAGCCAGGAGGGAAGACAATTCTGCCCAGAGAGAGGCTGATGGGGCTGCTGGCGGATTGTGCCTTTGCTACCGTGTTCATGAGCATCTCGGCAGAACATCTCAGTTTGCCCAGTGAAGCAAGAGAGTGAAGTGGGGGGCACTAAGGTTGGGAGGTGCTGGGGACCCAGGGAAGGCCAGGAAGTCACAGAGGCAAGGAGCAGGGCTGAGGGGTGGCCCAGGGGCCTGTGGTGCCTGCCCCCCGGGGACAGACTGACTCTCCAGCTATGCTCAGCAAAGGGTAGGGGCGAGCCACGCCCTTGGGCTTGGGCTTGTGCTGGGTGGGGGAACTCTGAGGGTATTGGGGTTCCCCCATAGCCCAGGTCACCCCATGACCTGCCCGCCCCCAGCTCTTGCACCTTCATCTCCCTCGCATTCTTGTCCCTCTTGCGCTCCATGTGCCACAACTCAGACATGGACTTTTCCAGATTGGCTGCTCGGTGGCGGTATTCGAACTCATAGTGCTGGCGGCTGTCCTGGGGTGGGATGGAGAGAGGAGGGAGACCCCCATGTTAAAGAACTCAAGACACTTGGCCCAAGGGTCAGAGCACTGGGCAGGGGTCGGGGGACTCAGCCAGTCAATGCCCAGTGCTGGCCTCAGTGTGCCCATCTGTCAAATCGGGAGAGGAGGTCCTGCCTGGGACAGGAAGCCAGACTCACTTTGATGAACTGCATGTCCAGCTTGGTGTTCTTCTCCATGTGCTGCAGCAGGTCTCCGTGGAAGGTCTGCACCTGTACGGGGTGCAGGGCAGGGGATCAGGGGGCCTACCCTTCCCAGGCCCCAGCATCCCCTGAGCACCTCCAACTCCACTGCCCTGTCCGCGGTGCTCCTAACACCAGGCACCTGCCCGCTCGTCGGAGAAGCAAGGATACTCTGAGCAGCAGGTTGAAGGAGGGTCCAATGGTTAAACATGCAAAGCCTTTAGTGCAGTGCCTGGCTGGACCACCTCCTTGAGAAATGTGCTCCCGCCTTCTGTTCCCGGTCTTAGTCTCAGTCTGTGCTTGGATTATGCCATTCCCTCTGCCTGGAATTCCCTACCAATCTTCAAACCCAGCTTACTGATTTCCCCAGGCAGAATTAACTGCTCTCTGTCATTTTGGCTTCTGAAATGAATACATGTTGGTTCATTCATTGTTCATGCTTTCAGCCATGTAGCAGGATTGATTCTGGGCCCCTGGCCACGCCCCTCTGTACTGGTTGGGATTTCTCTCTCTTTGCTGGTTGGTCGGCCCTCCAGGCAGCAGTGCTGTTGGGTGGGGGCCACACCTGACCCACCTCTGCATCCTCAGGGCAAGTGCTCAGAACTGCCGAGGCCTTAGATGGGGGGCGGTGGGTCTGGGTGTCAGGCAAAGAGTGGGCATCAGACAACCCAGAAGATGAGGAGGCCAAGGAAGGATGCTGGGCTCAGCTCAAGGGAGCTGCAGTCTAATTCTGGTTCTGCCTCCAATTTGCCTTGGGACTTTGGACAAGTCGCTGCCCCTCTGGGCAGTTTCCCCTTCTGTGCCAGGAAAGAATCGACCAGATACTGTCTGAGGTCCAGCTCTATGAACTTTGATGAGCTTCGAGTCTGTGGACCGCAGCAATCACTTGGCACAGTCCCCCTTACCCTCCATCAGCTCTCCCTGGGTCACCCACCATGGTGGGAGTTGGATCTAAACCCTCTCAGCTGTCCTTTCTGCCCTTGGGTCAGACAGTACAGGAAACGAAGAGGTGCTTCTCCCACCCTCGAATGCTTACACCTCCGGAGACCCTCCACCTCTGCTCAGGCTTCTCTGTCTGTGTACCCTTACCCACGGCACTCCTGCTCCAGAACCTTCCATGGACTCCACCTCCTGCCACAAGAGCTCTGTCCCACAGGGCCAGGCTGCCACGTGGAAAAGGAGTATTAGTAATCTCCTTCCAGAATGCAGGGAAAATGAGTACATTATACAATGTCTAGATTTTAGGGTTTTCTTCTACAGTTGTTTCTGAAACCATGGGACCTGCTGGTCTGCAAGGGAGCTTGAGTGTGGCTTCCTCAGTCCTTGCCAAGCCCGAAGACCCGGAGCTGTGGCTGCCAAGGTGTGTGTGTGGGGGGGGCGTCAGTGTTAAGAAGGAAGTGCCACGCAGGGTCCAATAGGAGGTGAGTCTCCCCAACGCTGCATGTGCGCAACCCTGACAGTGGGTTCTCCTTGAATTCTGTGTCCTAGGCGCCTTGCTGGCCTCACCCCACCCCTGGCCCTGTTTCCCACTAAAGAGAAAGCCCAAGATTTCTGCTGTAACACCACTCATGTGTTCCTGAAAAAAAAAAACAAAAACAAAAAACTGTACATTCTGCAAAGTTGTGCAATCTAAACAATGGGACTTCTGGGGAAGGTAGGGTTGGGATAGACCCTCCAAACCCAGGCAGCTTTGTAACCAGAGCACTGGTAAAGACAATGGTAAAGATGATGGGGTGCGGTGCTGGCGGTGGGATACCTGGAAAGATGAACTCGAATACCCAACCAAACCAGTAACCAGTTGGCACTGAGTTGACTCCGACTCATGGTGAACCCTTGTGTGTCAGAGTAGAACTGTGTTCCAAAGGGTTTTCAATGGCTGATTTTTCAAAAGTAGAACTCCAGGCATTTTTTCTGAGGCACGTCTGGGTGGACTCAAGTCTCCACCTTTCGATTAGCAGCCAAGCACGTCGACGGTTTGCACCACGCAGGGACGCCAACCACCTGACAGACCACAGCAAACATTAAAATGCACAAAACCAGAACAGACATGGTGGCTCCACTCTGACCACTGCAGAGCTGGAGAAGCTGAGATGACACAGGAGGAGGCAGCCCTGAGCCTGTAGGGCTGTCATTCAGGCAGCCGTGGGAGGCAGGACGAGAGCACAGGTCTGACGAGGGAGTCCTGGGCGAAGGTTTTCTTTTAAAATGTTCTCAAGGTAGGGCCAAAAGGGCTTGCTTTTGCCCTCAGTGCAGCCGACAAGTTGAGGGCTTTTTCCTTTCCTGCTAATTTTATTTGCCCTGTCCTGGCTCCTCTTGCCTAGGAAAAATCATCAGCGAACAAGCTGACTTCTACTCTATATAGCTGTCATTCCTCCTGCTTCCGGTGGCGCATGGGCTGAGTCACATCCTGGAGATGTGCGTTAGAGCAGAACAGCTGGATTATATATAACTCTTCCCATTGCCAGGCGTGGCTGGGATTGCCAGCACGGCAGAGGACACAGACCCAGATGCCCCAATCAGATGGGGCCAGCCCACCACCGGGCCAATGGGAAGTCTTCGTCAATTCCCTGAAGAAATGCATCTATCAAAAGCTTGATACTCGAAGCCAACTTTGAGCTCTTGCAGAAGGGAATCAGAGGACTGTTTATAAGTAACTGGGAGGGTTCTGAAACAAGAAAGGCTCCAACCCCAGGGCAGTCTGAGGGATTCCAACCAAATCACAACAAAGGCCGTCCCTGGAGCACATGCTTCAATAAAGATGCAAAGGAAGCTGATAGCAGGCCCACTGTTGAGTTCAGGTGTTGAAACATAGAGTTCTTCCAGTGGTTCTCAGGAAATCCTTTTGCCATCTATGCAGCAAAACCTCTGGAAAGAATCGTCTCTATGGGCTGACCCCGACTCCTCTCCTCCCATTTCCTCTTGAATCCCTGCAGTCAGGCTTTCCCACATCAAGAAAACTTGTTGAAATCCCTGATGACCTTCCCATTGCTAAATCCCATGGTCAATTCTATTTTCAACAAATGGTGCTGGAACAACTGGATAACTACAGGCAAAAGAATGGATTTGGATCCCTACTTAATGCCATGTACAAATATAGATCATACACCTAAACGTAAGTGCTAAAACTATAAAACTCTTAGAAGAAAATGCATGTGTAAATCTTCATGGCCTTGGATTAAACAACAGTTTCTTAGATATGACAGCAAAAGCATAGTGACAAAAGAAAAAACAGATAAACTGCATATCATTAAAATTTAAAACTTCTGTATTTTAAAGGACACCATCAAGAAAGTGAAAAGACAACCTGCAGGATAGGAGAAAATATTTGCATATCATATATCAGATAAGGGACTTGTATCTAGAATATGTAAAGAATTATCACAGTGAATAAGAAGAAGACAAATTATCCAATTAAGAAGGATCTGAGTATAAAGTAATCCATGAAGACATACAAATGACCAAATGCGCAACATCATTGGTCATTAAAAAACCCATTGCCATCAAGTTGATTCCAACTCATAGCGACCCTATAGGACAGAGTAGAACTGCCCCATAGGGTTTCCAAGGCTATGATCTTTGTGGAAGCAGACTGCCATGTCTTTCTCCCACGGAGTGGCTGGTGGGTTCAAATGGCTGACCTTATGGTTAGCAGCCTAGTGCTTTAACCGCTGTGCCACCCAGGGCTCCTAGGGAGTTATCATATGACCCAGCAATTCCACTCCTACGTACGTACTCAAGAGAAACAAAAACATGTCCGCACAAGAACTTGCACACAAATGTTCATAACAGCATTATTCATAATATCCAAAAAGTAGAAGTAGCCCGTATCGATTAAATGATGAACGGATAAATATAAAGTGGTATATCCATATAATGGAATATTATTCAGCAATAAAAAATGAAGTACTGATACATATTACAACATAGATGAACCTTGAAAACGTTATGCTCAGTGAAAGAAGCCAGTCACAAAGGACCATGTATCACATAGTTCCATTTATATGAAAAGTCCAGAATAGGAAAATTTATGGAGATAGAAAATAGATTAGTGGTTGCCTAGGGTTGGGATGGGAGAAGGGGTTTAAGGGGTTGACAGCTAAGTGGTGTGGTGTTTCTTTTTAGAGTAATGAAACTGTTCTAAAATTGATTGTGGTGATAGACACACAACTCTGCTAATATACTAAAAGCCATTGAACCGTGTATTTTAAAAGGGTGAATTGTATGTTATGTGAATTATATCTCCATAAAGCACTTAAAAAAAAAAAAAAAGAAGTTCTTGCCGGCTTTATCTTGAATCTGATCTCTTCTCACCACCACCACTGGTGCCACGCTTTTCCAGCCACATCATCTATCCCCTAGGTTATTGCAGTAGCCTCCTAACTAGTCTTCCTGCTTCTGCTTTTGCCCTCCACCCTTAATAGTTCATTCTTAATACAACAGAGTGATCCTATTAAAATATAAGCCAAAAAATGTACACCTGGAAAATGAAACAAAACTTTCATTTATAATGGCTTCAAAAAACGTCAAATAGCTAAGAATACATCTACCAAAAGACGTGCAAGACTGCTACGCTGAAAATGACAAAACATTGCTGAGAAGTAAGTGTGGAGATATACCATGCTCATGGATATGAAGACTCAATATTGTTAAGATTCCATTACTCTATAGAATAATTCAATTTCTATTAAAAACTCAGGAGGCATTTTTTAAGAAATTGACAAGCTGATTCTATAATTTATATGGAAATGAATAGAATATTGACTAGCCAAAATGATTCTGAAAAAGAATAAAGTTGGAAGACTTACATTACCTGATTTTAAGATTTACTATAAAGCTATAGTAATTAAGACAGCGTGGGATTGTTGTAAGTATAGACAAATACATCAATGAAACAGAGTCAAGAGTCCAGAAATAGACCCACCTATATGTAATCAATCAATTTTTGACCAAGGCACCAAGTTAATTCAATGGGGAAAGCAAATGGTGTGGAACAACTGAATATCTATACAGGGAAAAAATGAACCCAGAAC